TGGAATCATACCACAAAGAAAAAGAAGATTCCGAAGCTTCTAATCCTCCTGAAAAGAAACATAAGCCCAATGGGCCAGGAACTCCGAGCACTCCTAAGAAAAGGATCGATGTTATAATGGGAGGATCCAAATTATGCCGAGATTCGATCAGATCAATCAAAAGGCATAAGAAATCAGCAGCAATTCAAACCGCTGTAGGTTTTCAGTCAAATGAACAAATACCTTCTATCTCCTTTGATAATTCGGCCACTCAAGGATTAACAGGACCTCATGATGATGCTCTTGTAATAACTTTAGATGTTGCGAACATTGAAGTGACAAGGTGTCTAATTGATACTGGAAGCTCGGTAGATCTCATATTTCTAAGCACTTTGCAAAGAATGGGAATCAGTAAAGCCGATATTTTCGGTCCACCGGCACCGTTAGTAGCTTTCACGAGTGACACATCTATGTCCTTAGGAAACATAAAACTACCAGTGCTCGCCGCAGGGGTTCCAAAAATTGTATAATTTATTGTTTTCGACCGTCTGGCCGCTTACAACATAATTCTCGGAACTCCGTGGATATACGAAATGAAGGTTATACCTTCAACTTATCACCAATGTGTGAAATTTCCGACTCCTGGTGGAATTAGAACCATTCGAGGAGATCAGGAAACGTCGCGATCTTGCTACCTCATGGGACATCGTTTAAAGCTCAAATAGCAATTAATGATAAATGCTAAGCAAGAAAGCACCTCGCGTTACCCAAGTGGTCTCAGTTCGAGTGAATTACCACAGAAATTGAAATTGATCCCGAATTTCCAGATCGGAAAGTAAAAATCGGAACTACTTTGGATTCAGAAATCAAAGATCAATTGGTAACATTTCTAAAAGAAAATACTTTTGCCTGGTCGGCCAAGGATATGCCTGGCATCGACAAAAGTATCATTACCCATGACTTAAATGTCGATCCCAGTTTTATACCAATAAAGCAAAAAAGAAGAAAACTGGGTCCTGAACGAGCACAAGCGGTCAATGACGAAGTTGATAAGCTTTTGAAAATTGGTTCGATTAGAGATGTAAAATACCCGGACTGGTTAGCAAACCCCGTGGTAGTCAAAAAGAAAAATGGAAAGTGGAGAGTATGTGTCAATTTCACTGACATTAACAAAGCATGTCCAAAAGACAGCTTTCCTCTCCCTCATATCGATCGGCTCGTAGAATCAACAGCCGGAAACAAACTCTTGACTTTCATGGATGCATTTTCTGGGTATAATCAGATCATGATGAATCCCGAAGATGAAGAGAAAACATCTTTCATAACAGATAGAGGAATCTACTGTTATAAAGTAATGCCATTCGGTCTAAAAAATGCCGGGGCAACATATCAACGTTTAGTCAACAAAATGTTTTCAAAACATTGGGCAAAACGATGGAAGTTTATATCGATGATATGCTCGTAAAATCTCTTAAGAAATCCGAGCACATCACACATCTTGAGCAGTGTTTCAAAATTCTGAATGAATTCGGGATGAAATTAAATCCTGCTAAATGTTCTTTTGGTGTGCCTTCCGGAGAATTCCTAGGTTACATAGTCACGGAAAGAGGAATAGAAGCAAATCCTAATCAGATTAACGCTTTCCTCACGATGCCTTCACCAAAAAACATTAAAGAGGTCCAGCGATTGACGGGAAGAATTGCTGCGTTGAATCGTTTCATCTCGAAATCTATCGATAAATGTCTCCCCTTTTACCAGATTTTAAAATGGAACAAAAAATTTCGGTGGGATGATCAATGCGAAGCAGCGTTCGACCAATTAAAAACTTATTTGACGACACCACCGGTTCTCTTAAAACCCGAATCAGATGAGAAACTTTATCTTTATGTCTCGGTTTCTAATCATTCTGTAAGTGGGGTTTTAGTTCGAGAGGATCAAGGTGATCAGAAGCCGATTTTCTACATAAGTAAATCTCTTACCAGTCCAGAAAAGAGATATACCATGATGGAAAAGTTAGCTTTAGCAGTAGTGATATCTGCTAGAAAGCTCAGACCTTATTTCCAATCTTATCCGATAGAAATTCTAACTTCTCATCCACTTCGCTCGATTCTTAACGGACCAAGTCAGTCCGGTAGATTGGCGAAATGGACAATCGAACTCAGTGAGTACGATATAGAATATAAAAGTCGAACTAGCGCAAAAGCACAAGTTCTGGCTGATTTTTTGATCGAACTGCCACTTGATGATGGAATCCTTATTGAAAAAACTCTACATGGAAATTACATGTAGATGGCTCTTCTTCTAAACAAGGATCCGGAATCGGTATTAGGCTCGAAACTCCGACAAAGGAAATAATCGAACAGTCGCTTCGATTAATGTTTCCGGCTTCGAACAATGAAGCAGAATACGAAGCTCTCCTAGCAGGACTTCGGCTTGCTCTTGCAATTGGAGCAGAAAGAATAATAGCTTATTGTGATTTCCAGCTAGTTGTAAACCAGTTCAGTGGGGATTACGAAGCTAAGGCTCCTCGAATGGAAGCCTATCTTTCGGCTGTCAAAAAATTTGCCGGAAAATTCAAAGAGTTCGACTTAGTTCGAATACCTCGAGGAGAAAACACTTCGGCAGACGCTTTAGCTGCCCTAGCATCTACCTCAGATCCCAAGCTTAAACGAGTTATCCCTGTTGAATGTATTTCTACGCGAAGTATTTCAGTTGAAGAAACAGAAAACGATAACATTTTGGAGGCCGAGCATATCGAAACTCCAAAATTAAGTTCCGCAAATGAGAATAGTTCGTTTGTTGTCACCAGATCACGAGTAAAATCTCAGGATGATGAACTTACTTCACCACTGGAACTTCCTAAAAGAAAGCCAAGAAGAAAGTTGAATATATAGAGGTTCCCGCTAAAGAACTATCTCGAACTGAACAAACACCTCAGGGTGATGAAGAAGTTCAGGAAACAATCGAAGATCTTGATATTCCTTCCGAGCCCGAACCAAGGAAGTTTATACTCAAGGATAATACTTCCGCTAATGATTGGGGGGCTGACTGGAGAGTACCCATCAAAAATTTCATTCTTAATGGAGAACTACCATCGAACAAATGGCAAGCTCGCAAACTAAAAATCATCAGCGCTAAGTATTGTATAATTAAAGAGTCGTTGTGCAAGCGAGGCGTCAGTGATCCCTATCTTTTATGTATTTTCGGACCCGAAGTTGAAATAGTGACAAGCGAGTTCCACGAAGGGCTTTGTGGTAGTCATTCTTCGGGACGAGCAATGGCTTTCAAAATCAAACGACTAGGATATTTCTGGCTAACTATGATTTCTGACTGCATTCATTACGCCAAACGGTGTAAAAAGTGTCAGATGCACGCTCCTCTTATTCACCAGCCATCTGAAATTTTATCATCTATATCTACTCCATACCCTTTCATGAGGTGGTCAATGGATATAGTTGGTCCTATGCATCGCTCAACGCGAGGCGTCCAATACTTATTAGTCCTAACGGACTATTTTTCCAAATGGATCGAAGCAGAAGCCTACGTAAATATACAAGATTCTGTGGTAAAAACATTCTTGTGGAAACACATTATTTGTCGCCATGGAATTCCTTACGAAATAGTAACGGACAACGGTCCTCAATTCATTTCAAATGAATTTGAAGATTTTTGTTCCGCTTGGGGAATAAAACTTAGCTATTCAACGCCGAGGTATCCTCAAGGAAATGGGCAAGCGGAAGCTTCCAATAAAACCATTCTCGGCAATCTTAAAAAGCGTTTGAATACTCGGAAAGGTGGTTGGTATGACGAGCTGCAACCTGTGTTGTGGGCATATCGAACAACCCCGAGACGAGCAACGGGAGAAACTCCATTCTCATTAGTATATGGGATGGAAGCTGTAGTCCCAGCCGAACTGAACTAAATTATTAGAAAACGTTCTTGATACAATCGAAAACGTTCTTGATACAATCGATGAAAGGTGAGATCAATCCCTTATTCGACTTCAAAACTATCAGCAATTGACCGCTCGTTACTATAACTCAAAGTTGAAAAACAGACCTTTAAATGTAGGAGACTTTGTTTTAAGGCGAGTGTTCGATAACACAAAAGAAGAAGGAGCTAGAAAACTCGGTATTAACTGGTGTGGATGTCGGATTCACACACTCAAGTATTTTTATTAAGTAGGAAAGATTACTCTTGAGGGACAAAAATGAATATGTAAGAACTTATAAATTGCTACGAAAATTGCTATATTATTTCTTTCTTCCGAGAATCCCCTTTACATGGCCATTGGCCTTTATACATAGAGAAACGACATTAAAATGAATAATTAAGTACAATTATTCCTTCTTAAATGTGTCCGTTTTGATTCTTCGACTTTAATGCTTAACGTTTGAATTTGAGTTGACTCTGATCTTCATGGGCCTCGCCTTTTTGGCCCAAGTGTCCTTGAACCGACTTACCCGTGTCTTCTACACCGAACTCGTGTCACAGTGCAGTCACTTCGGATTCTCGAAGTGGTGACAACCACTTCGACCGTTCCTTCGGCTCATGGGTTCAATGGGCTTTATCCTTTATGGGCCATTATCTTGACTACGTGGCAATCTTTGGTTGATCTCGGACTTCTGGTGCGGGATCCGACACCAACAATTAGCCCCCCAAGTTCTTCGAAGTGCTGTTCCAATTCGGAGGACTTTAAATGCTCAAGTGACCAAAGATTGCGCTCGAAAATCTTTCTGATTTCCCGCCGGAAATCTCATCATTCCTCTAATTTCGGCACTAGCCATTTTTACCCGAGTGACATCTGTCATCATTATGACCGTATATTAATTAATTACTATTAAAACGGGAAAAAACCTTCCCACTTCCCACACAACTTCCGAGGCGGTTTCATCATTAGCTTGTGTGAGGTAACTTCTTTTCACCATTACTTTCTTCTTTTACGCTTTAATCGAAACTCCTCTCTTCTCTTTCTTCTCCGATTTTCTCTTTGCCGAAACTTGAATTTTTCATTCCCCCCAATGACTTCTGATTCTGATAGACCCGAGTCTCCGTCTTTCGATGAAAGGCGTTCTAGTAATGACGAGTGCACCCGCCCTAATGATATTGCTGGTCCGCACTACAGAACCACCTGCACCCTTCAATCTCTCGAACGTTTGAGGGAGCTCTGCCGAATTCCACCAGGAATTATGGCGGAGGCGCAGATAGCCGATCCCACAGAGTCCCCAGAAAGCCACCGCGACGGCTATTTCTGTGTATATGAGATCTATTTTAAAGGTTGCGGGCTGACCTTTCCTCTTCCCGAAGCCCTAGTTCGATACCTAGCGGCTCTTGAAATCGCGCTTCCTCAACTAACTCCCAATCTTCTTCGAACTATTCTCGGAATTATAACAATCACGGCGGAGGCCGGATATGTTATCGGAGTTACTGAATTAAATGAGCTTCTAAGCGTAAGAAGTTCATCGAAGAAGACGGGATATTTCTCAGCGTATCCAAACGCTAATAGAAACATCATCTCGCACCTTCTGAACAAGGATGAAAATTGGCACCATCCTTGGTTTCTGATTAAGAAAACTCCCGCTTCGATTGGAAATCTTGCAGATTTACTCCCATCGAAGTGGTCTGCAAAGCCTGGTAGAGATTAGGTCGCATATATCTTTTCCGATTGTTTTCTTATCTTTATTGACTAAAGCCGTTGTTTCATTTCGCAGCTTTCGTCGCTTCCACTCTCCCGTCTGAAGAGTTCATCGAATTCTTCAAAATAATTCTCGAAGGGGAAACCCTTTGGAATTCTTTTACTCTTGAACGATTCCTAGAAGCTAACCACAGACTCAGGATGAGTCCACTGGGTCAACTTCACCAACTTCCGCCTCCTCCCTCAACTCAGGGGATGTCATCTCGGGCCCTTGCGGCCAAGCGTAAGGTGCTTTCCAAGCCGATGGCTGAAGCTTGCGAGGAGAAGAAAAAGTTTCTCGCGACTTCTATAGACAAGAAGGACTACAGTAGGACCCTGCTGGTTGATGATGGCAGCACCGAAGGAGCCAGATCTGTCGCTTCTTTCAGATTAACTCCTCGTCGCGATCGTCGTGACTCACGTTCTCCTCGGAGAGAGCGGTCTCCTCGTCGTGATTCTCCTCGTCTTCCCCGAGACGATTTCAGCAGCGAACCACTTAAGAATTTGGTTCGCAGGAAGAGGGACAAGTCATCCCGTAGTGACTCGTCTCCGCGAAGGGAGAAATCAAGGGCCCGGACTGACCGTTCACCTCGATCATCCCCTCCCACTGAACCAATGGGTCCTCCCCGACCTGCTGACATGTCTTCTTCTGCCCAGCCCGAGAGTGAAAAGACTGTTCGGAGTGCATCCCCCAAAAAGGGAGATTCTGAATCTCGAGATGCTTTCTCGAGGTTAAAGCCTGCCCTTGTCCCTCAAGTCAAATCGCTTTCAGGTTTGGTGACTTACACATACTTAAACTTTTTTGTCTCTATTAAAATTCCAATATTTACAACTCTTCCTTCTTCGCAGCTATGGAGAAAGAAGGCAGCGTCTTCCGATGCTTCAAGACCCAGTCGGGTTCGATCTTGCCAGACTTCAACAAATGGTGTCCTGCGATTCGTGAACGCTATTTGCTTCACGCTCATCATTCATCTCGGGTTAATTCCGTTTTTTTTTGTTTTTTTCTTTTATGTATTGCCATTCTTCAAACTGACTCGCCATCCCGGGTTTATAATGCCAGGCTCACAGCGAACTTAACGATATGATCGAACATTACGAAGGGTTGGTCATTGGACGGGAGAAGGAGATTGACATGTGGAAGAAGAAATTCTCAGCTCTTGAGGCTGAACTTAATTCTTCTGCCGGCTCCAAGCACGATCTGGAGGACAAGGTCGACAGTTTAACATCTGAGCTTGCGCAGATAAAGGGGGAGCTGCAAGACCAGTATGACCGGAATTACAAACTCCAGGATGAGCTTTCTGGTGTTCAGGGTAGACTCCATGAATCCGAATCAACCGCCGATACCCTAAACAACCAACTTATCGAGCTTACGCGAAGTACAAGGCGTTAGCCAAGTTGCGTGATTCCGAGTTGGCAAGGTCAGCATCGAAAGCCAAAAAAGATGTTAAGGGACGAGGGATGGAGTTGATCCAGGGGGCCATCCGCTTCATTCAAACCGAGAAGGCTAGGTCAGATCTGGAATCAGACGTCAAGGAGCACGAGAGCAATTTGATTCTGTTGGACCAAATCCATGATGCAGATTTCTCCGAGGTGCAAGAGAGGGCTGAACTGTTGACCAATCTTTCTGAAAAGCGGAGTCGTTTGGCAGCTCTTCCCGCTTCGACTTTCAACCCGCAGGACTTTGAGGAATTCTTCACAGAATCTCCTCCTATAAGTGAATTGGGTCTAGACTGGGCGGGTAACTTTTTGCTCTTGATACTCATTACCTTTTCTTACCTTGTACCTTTGATTGACTGGGATTATTTTTCTAGGCTCAAGTAAAACGGAAGACGTTGTTCCACCCGAAGTTCCTGCGGTGCCGGAGGTCACTCCAGAGGATGGCTGCACCGCGGAGGGTGGTCAGGGAGCTTCATCTGATCAAGCGCCAATTAAGGAAGCAAGTGAAACTTTGACAGCCGAGCCGGAGTCCGAGATGGAGGTCGATCCGTAGTGGCTGCGCCCACTTAAACTGGATCCCACTTAGTTTAAACTTAACTTCAAACTTATTTTTTGGCCTAAGGAGGCTTTATCATTTTTTTTTAACAAGATTTTTGCCTGAGGAGGATTTTAAACCTTTCTAGGTTACGACCCAAGGGGGTTTGGTTAAAATTATATGCGGGTTTGCAAAGTCCGCTTTTAACCTTTTGTGGCCTTATGGTTATGCTTTCGAGATTTTTAGGCTGATCAGGCCTTTCTCTTTAGAATGCGAGAGCTGAGCTCGGCTTAAAGCGAGTTCCCCACTTCGGGTTTAGTCAACTCGATAAATTTATTGGGCTTGGGCCTTAGAAACTTTTGTAGTTAATGCGACGGTTGCTCTTTCCCTTCTTATAAGTAAGGAAAACGGCTCGTCTCTAATGCAATAACTGCCTTTTCTCGATTTTCCAAAAATGGCTTAAACCACTCGGGCACTCTACCATTATTGGATTTATGGTTCCAAGACAAACCCTAAATCATTATAAATAAAGGCTTACCTACTTCTAAGCTTTATTTAAACACGATTTTAGAATCTTACTTGAGAAATATTTCAAGAATGGAAAACGAAAAAGTAGCCCCCATTGATCCCGGCAGCCCACTCTTCTTGTCCGGCGACGGCTTTGAACCGGCCGGCGTTCTTTTCCCTCACGCCGTCTTTCACTTTCCTTCGAAAGAGAAGAAGGAGGCTTGCGACTTTATTGACAAGGTTAATATCTGTCTTTTTTGATTAGAAACTTTTTGTTTCATCTTATTCATTCATCTTTATGCTAGGTTGCCGACAAACACCGTCGCTTGTGTGAAGAGAGGCAGCGGCTGGGACTCAAAAGGCAAACGCTCGAGGCTCGCATCGCTCGGGTGGAGAGGAAGATACGGGCCTTGGAAAGTGATCCCTTTCAATGGGAATAGCAGAATTTTGACTCTGTCGCCGAGATCCCGAAGATGCTTCAGATGTATCTTCGCGCTAAAGGAGTCCCGGGTCCCGTGAACGCCCCGGTCTATGCCGTTCCACCTGACAGCGAAGAAGAAGACGAAGAGGAGGCCAGCACCTGTCGGAAACGCGTTCGGGATCATCCCGAAGTGGATGCCAAGAACAAGGCGTCCACTTCGAAGACTAAACCGGCGATGAAGGAGCCTGTTCCTGAGCCTCTTCCATAAATGTTCTCTAACTTCTTCACTTATTTTAAACTCGTAATGGGCTTCGGCCCCTTTTTATTTATGGAAACATTTGCAACTTTCCTTTCTTTTCAAATATTCTCGGAGATGCGCCTTTTAATGCAGGATCTGTTCGAGGGCATAAATCTCTTCGCGAATCACTCCATTCCTTGGATAGAATCCGCAGCTTGCTAGGGATATGACATTCCTATAAATTATAGTCTCAATTTCCCTTTACTCCTCACCATTCTTTTCATTTTAGTAGGTATGGAGTTCAATCTTCGCTGTTCAGAATCTATGCCCGACTTCTCCAGAATCGGAATGATAAACGAAGATGTTCCAAATGAGCCAAGCAGGCAGCCTCCTCCACTTCGCGGCTTCTTAAGATCTCAGATCCGAGCCCCATGTGCTTTGATCAGGGATCTCCAAATCAGAGACCAAGGAACAGCGACGGCGTTCATAGAGGCACTCGAGCTTCAACACCGGAAGCTTATGTTGGAAAAAAGGAGACTCCAGAAGAGGATTAACCGGATGCAACGCAGGCTTACTACGGTGTCGAGAGATCTTCACATCCTTGAATCTCACCCCGGAGAGTGGATTGAGCTTGGAATCTCTGACTTTGCTCGAATTCCGGACTGCATGATGCCAATCCTCGATCTTGCTGGTCAAGGAGTTGAGGTGTTCTGCTCGTCAACAAGGTTTTCATAGTCCGAAGTGTACGATGAGCGACATCCCTTCTTTGAATAAACGCTCTATTTCCAATCTCTTGTATGTTCGTATAGCCGAACCTTTGTTTGCTTCACTTGTTCGCACAGTCGAACCTCTTTCCTTTAATAAAGAAATAAAACAAATTTTTATTAATAGCTGAACTCGTTTCCGAGCTGCCTACGTACCCATTTCGGGATCAAGCCACATCGTAGTTCATGTACATAAACAATGCATGTAGCTTTAAACATAAAACTTCTTTAGGTTGATCACATTCCAAGGTCGCTTGACCGGATTGCCTTCTAAGTCTTTCAACCTATAAACACCGTTCCGAACCACTTCGGTAATAATGTAAGGTCCTTCCCAATTAATACCGAGTTTACCGGCACCTTCTTCTTTTTTGTTGTCAAAGACGCGCCTTAATATATAATCTCCCACGAAGAAAGGCCTACTTTTAACCTTAGAATTGTAATACCGGGCTGCTGCCTGCTGGTAATTCTGGATCCGAATTAGAGCTTGATCACGCCTTTCATTTATGGTATCTAGTGAATCATTAAGAATTGCTGAATTTTCTTCCTCATTTAACGGTGCTTCTGTTCGGCGAAGTCCGGGCACATTGAGTTCAGCTGGTACTACAGCCTCCATGCCGTAAACCAAAGAGAATGGAGTTTCTCCTGTAGGTCGCCTAGGGGTTGTACGATAGGCCCACAGGACGGGTTGGAGTTCTTCATACCATCCTCCCTTTAGATGACTTAAGCGTTTCTTGAGATTGCTTAATATTGTCTTGTTCGCGGCTTCAGCTTGACCGTTTCCTTGCGGATATCGTGGAGTAGAATAACTAACTTTGATTCCCAGTCCGCACAAAAAGGCATCAAACTCGTGTGAAATGAATTGCGGTCCATTATCAGTAACTATTTCGTATGGAACTCCATGTCGACATATAATGTTTTTCCAAATAAAGGTCTTCACCGCCGAATCCTTGATACCAACATACGCCTCAGCTTCGATCCATTTTGAAAAGTAGTCCGTAAGGACTAAAAGGTACTGTACACCTCGAGTTGATTTGTGCAATGGTCCAATGATGTCCATTGACCACCTCATAAACGGGTATGGGGCGGAAATGGAAGAGAATAATTCCGACGGTTGATGGATCAATGGTGCATGGAGTTGGCAGCGCTTGCATCTTTGGGCGAACTTAACACAATCTGTGATCATAGTGGGCCAATAATATCCCATTCTTTTAACTTTAAAAGCCATAGCTCTTCCTGATGAATGACTCCCACATAATCCTTCATGCACTTCGCTCATGACGATTTCGACTTCGGGCCCAAAAATGCATAATAGGTAAGGGTCACTGACACCTCGTTTATATAACGCATCCTTTGACAGACAAAATTTCGCGCTAACGATTTTCATTTTTCTGGCCTGCCATTTATTCTTTGGGAGCTCACCTGTCATGATGTAGTGCTTTATTGGTCCCTCCAGTAAGCCCCCCAGTCTTTAGCCGGAATTTGGTCAACCTTGTGAAATACTCGTGGCTCTGGCTCGGGATGCTCGTATGGTTCAAGAACATCCTCCTCGATTAATGGCTCGGTTTCTAACATCGTTTCTGGAATCACTTCTTCAGCTAAGACAACGGGTTCCTTGTTAGATGTATTCGATCCCTTTGACTTCCTTCGTTTGTTGGGTGGTGGTTCGATATCTGGTTCGCCACGGTCGCGTGCCGCTGCTCGAGATCTTGTAACGACGAGAGTTTCTTTGCTGTCTTGAATGCTTCGCTCCGAAATGCATTCCACTGGAATAACTCTCTTTAACTCAGGATCTGATGTTGACGCTAATGCGGCAAGTGCATCCGCAGTTGTATTCTCTCCCCGAGGTATGCGGATTAATAAAAACTTCGAGAAATTTTTAGATAGATCCCTCACCACTTCGAGGTACGCTTCCATTCTCGAATCTTTGGCTTCATAGTCTCCGTTAAACTGGTTAACTACTAATTGCGAATCACAATAAGCCAATATTTCCTTAGCTCCAATTCCTTGTGCCAATCGAAGTCCGGCAATCAGGGCTTCGTATTCTGCCTCGTTGTTGGAGGCATTGAATAACAACCGGAATGACTGTTCTAGAATTTCTGATGTTGGAGACTCCAACTTGATTCCCACTCCGGATCCTTGTTTTGTTGAAGACCCATCTACGTGTAATTTCCAAGTTTGGTTCTCCGGTTGTTCTATCGTTCCAGGTATTGGAAGTTCGGTCAGGAAATCTGCTAAGACCTGAGCCTTCATACTGATCCGGCTTTTGAACTCTATGTCGTACTCGCTTAATTCCACCGCCCATTTCGCCAATCGTCCGGACTGGTTTGGACTATGAAGTATTGTTCGGAGTGGCTGGTTGGTTAATACCTCAATCGGATGGGATTGAAAGTACGGGCGCAGCTTCCGAGCCGATATCACCACCGCGAGTGCGAGTTTTTCCATCATTGTATATCTGGTTTCCGGATCCGTCATTGACTTGCTCACATAGTAAATTGGTTTCTGCTCCCCACGGTCTTCCCGAACCAAGACTCCACTAACCGCGTGGTTTGAAACCGACACGTATAAATAAAGTTTTTCATCCATTTCCGGTTTGGACAATATAGGTGGAGTGGTTAAGTATGCCTTAAGCTGCCCAAAAGCTTCTTCACACTTCTCATCCCAAAGGAATCCTTTGTTCCCTTTTAGAATTTGGTAGAAAGGCAACGACTTATCTGTTGATCTCGAGATAAAACGATTCAGAGCCGCAATCCGCCCAGTCAACCGTTGTACTTTTTTGAAGTTTCTTGGAGAGGGCATGTTTAGAAAGGCGTTAATTTGATTTGGATTGGCTTCGATTCCTCTTTCTGTCACGATATAACCAAGAAATTCTCCGGATGGGACTCCAAATGTGCAATTCGCCGGGTTCAGCTTCATTTGATATTTATTGAAAATATCAAAACATTCCTATAAATGCTTAACGTGATCCTCTTTCTTTAACGACTTAACCAACATATCATCTATGTAGACTTCCATTGTTTTCCCGAGATGATTATGGAACATCTTGTTAACCAACCGTTGATAAGTTGCTCCTGCATTTTTCAAACCAAAA